CGAACTTTCTAATTTTGAATGGTTTAGTTTTTAAACTTTTTTTTTTGCATTAAAAAATCATTAAATTTTATCATTTTGAATGATTAAGTCTCTGAATTATTTTTTTTATTGAAAAAACAATTAAACTTTCACATTTTGAACGATTAATACCCTGATTTTTTTATAAAAGTTAAATAAACTGTCAAACTGTTACTAGTCGGTTAATGTAACTTTTTTGGGTTAAGATAATATAGGTAACCAATTTTTGAAAGTGCAATGGTTCATTTATTAAAATAATGGTAAGAGATTAATTAATTAAAATGAGAAAGTCTAATGGTTTTTCATTCAAAAGAGGAAGTTTAATGGTTTTTCATTTAAAAAAAATAGTTTATGGACTAAACCATTCAAAATGATAAAGTTTGTTGGGTTTTTTTGAATTTTTTCCTATTACAAAAGGCCTTAAACGATTATGTATTATAAAAGACCCATACATAACTTGACAAATCTAAATAAATGTACAAATTATGTCTATGTAGATACAAGTCACCATCAACATCATTAATTTTGATTTTAATGTTTTTGAATTAACAAAAGTTAATATTTGTTAAGGTTGCAATTAAGACATATGATCCACGGATCACCAAACCAAACTAAACTATCCTGATATATCCCACTTAGGGGGTCAGGTGAAGACCCTCGGCTTTTGAAAAAGCGTGTGAGAAAAAAAAAATATCAAACCTAGGTCACGAGTGTTGCATTTGTGGGGCCTCTATTTATAAGAGTTGTCGTTAGAACTTGGGTTCCACCCAGGTATGTGGGGTGTGACAAAAGTTCATAAAAACGCATGGTGTTACCTCCTTTACACTTTTTGGATGACATTGCTTGTTTAACCTTTTTTTGAAGCATATAAAATTTATGTATGACAAATTCACTAAGTGTAACAAATAAATTCATACATCCTCTTCACATTTTGTGAGGTTTGAACCATTGACCTCCTAAAAAGCCAAAGACTCACATACCGCTTAATCAAATGCCATTTTGTTGCTTAACTTTTATTGTCATACAAAATATTATAGAAAATTTTAGCAAGCATAAGTTTATGATTGTTATTTTGGATCTTACTAAAAACAAACGAAACAACAAACCCAATATATTTTCAGTTTTATGTTGACCCTTCCTCTGCTTCTTAAATTTTGAAAATGTTAAACAAGTACACCTTGTTGCAAAGTCTGAATGTTGAAAATGCTACACTTGAATGTTGCATATGTATTCAAAATTCTGCTTATAGAGATTGACATCTACTGTAAAAGTCTTGCTTGAAAAAACAGTTGATATTTATTTTATCTGGGTGAGAAAAGAAACCAGTACAAAACATTTCTGATTGTTGTTATGAAGAATACTCGAAAATTTGATTATCTGACCAAAAGGCAAGAACCTGGATTATCTAGTTGGGTTGGTGAAGTAAGAGAAACTTAAACATGTAATCGACTCGGCCGGAGAGGCTTACATGTTTAAGTTTCTCTTACTTCACCAACCCAACTCGTTTATTTATATCATATTATTGTCAACTCAACAACTTAAATATTAAAAGATATCAAAATCAGTATTGATCGATCTTAATTGGTTATTGTTTAGCCTTATATTCATTTATTTATTTTTCATTTTGCAGGATGTTTAGTGTCTGCGGATGGTGATTTGCTTCTTGAAAAGATGAAGGTTACCGGGGTACTTTTTACATTCTTGGAGGATTATATCTACACTATATTATAAAACATTTGACAAAAACTTTTAAAAGCTATTTTTTATGCATAAAGTAATGTATATTGATACATATTACTTAAAATTCAAAATTACAAGTAAATTATGCGTAAGTACAACTTATTAAAATTACATGTTTGAATTCGTGTAACTAACTGCGGATAAACATAATCAAATAGAGATAAACATCTCATTTTAAAATATAAAAAATCTAAAATATAAATAAGATAATTATCGAGTTCTAAAAAAATAATTGATTATTATCTTTATAAGAAAATTATATTATTAAACCAAATATAAATTAATTCGTTATTGAATCTAAATTAAATTATAATAAAAAATTGAATAAAAAATTTACACAAAAAATAAGAATTTTAAATAGTTAGTTTGATACTAATTTTGATGTATTTTTGTCAAAATTTTATGATATTTTCAAATTCATATTTTATTCAAAAATAAAAATATCATCACTTTTTCAAAATCACATAAGACCATACTATAACATCGACTGAGATAAAAAATAAAATAAAATATTAAAATCAAAATGTGTCTCGCTACATTGTACTAATACCATTCTGATAAAATAATAATACATTGAGGGGTGTTTGGGATTGTTTATCAAAACTGTTTTTTAACTTATTTCAGTCTGGCACTAGAGATACGCTGTTTTTTAGTGTTTGGGTAAAGAAAAAAAAAACTGTTTACACCGGTGCCAAACCGATAATAAACAGTTTTTGCTAAGTTAATTCTTCTTGACTTATGAAAAACTGTTTATTACCAGTTTACCAGTTTAACTTTGTTTTATTTATGTTTGTTAATTATTAATCTTATTGATATAAATTTTTGTCAAAAATATTATTATAAATGATGAAAAATAAATTTTTACATGTTAAAAAATCAAATAAGTTAATAATAAAAAATATTATTATATAGAAAACTGTCATTTTTAGTCATTTTACATATATAAGCAAAATTTGTCAAACACTAAAAAACAACTTATTAACTTATTGCTTTTTGGTACCGCTATAAGCTAATCCAAACACTTTTTACAGAACTCCGATTTAATATCACATAAGTTAATAAACACTTTTATAAAAAAATATAAGTTGTTTTAAATAAGCAATCCCAAACACCCCCTCAATTTCATTGATGAAAAAAATTAAATAATCATTTTTCTTCACTTATCGTAAATTTGAGAAAATTCTTTAAATTCGAAATGATTTATCTTATCCCTTCTTTTCTATTTTACGAAACTATTTATAAAATCTGTTAGAAAATAAATAAATTAAATATTTTTTATTTAAAATTTTTCTTACACATATCGGTAGATCTTTTAACCAATATCAAAACATTTATTTTCTTTATTTAATTTTTTTATTATAGTATCAATATTAAAAAGAAGTGTAAATTTCTGATTTCGTCCCTATGGTTATGTGTGAATTATGGATTGGGTCCCTCAAACAAAATAGTTACATCTATAGTCATTGTGGTTTCACTTTTATTACGGGCTGGGTCCCTTGCCCTAACTTAACTAACTATTGTTCCATTAAGCTAAGGGAAATGTTGTCCTTTTATATGTTTCCTTAAAAACATAACTAGTTGTGTACCTGCACAATGCGGCGGGAGTCGTGAATTTTAACGATTTTCAAGTTTCACTGATTTTATTAGAGAAGATTTAACGAAAATATAAGTTACACTTGGTCTTTACTTATTAATACAATTTGAATATATAGAAGTTATGGTTCCAATTACAGTCTATCGATGAAAAAAATTGTATAACAGTTTAAAATCCAATATATTTAAAATCTAACATATTTAAATGACTCCACAAATGTGTTCAATTTACAACAAGAGCAAAGAATCAAGAGATCGAGAGCGAGACTGAGAGTTCTAGAGCAATTGAATGAGAAATGAATAAGAGATGAATGAGAGAAACTCAAGATAAATATTAATTTGAATCTCACCTTGGGGGATGAGGAGAATACATAGAGGTATGAGAGGGTGAATGTATGAGTGAAAGGTGTCAAAAGTATATTGGGAACATGAAAAGAAAATGTAATAATGTGCATAAAGTAGTAGTATTTAATGTATTATGAGTTGTTTTTAAGATTTTGTGCATTAAAAATTGTTTTTAAGACTTTTGATAAATTTGTTTTATAAGGTAGTATAGATATGCCTACCAACATATCGTCCTCCCCCCCAATGAAGTCCCTGCCGACCCTTCCCTTTTCTTCACCGCCCTCCTTCCTCCCCATCTTCATGTCACTCACCGCCCTCTCAAAATCTACTCAATCTTTGAACCTATTCGAGCTAACAATGATGGATCGAGTTTTGTATCAATAATGGAAGGAAGCAGGGCAGTCTTTACATTCTCACCATACACGTCAACTAGATTAAGGGGATTTATAGAAATTGCAAGAAAAGTGGGTTCTTGCGTTGGGGGTTCACAAAAAGATGGCGAACTCCAACAGATCTCCTGCCTTCCCCATCAATTATATTATATGGATAATGTATAGAATTCATTTTTTATTTTTGCAAAATTTTTATTTACAAACAAATAGATCTCGATAGCATCACCTACGTCGAAGGATTTTTGGTTTCAAAACCCATAGTCTTCTTCCTTCGTACAACCTTCCTAAAGCTTAAAAAAATGTGTTGTTTTTGGATGATGACACAATGTTACAGATTGATTTGAGTGGAATGTGGTCTTTGGATATGAAAAGTAAAGTGAATGGATGGTGATAGAGATAGAAAGGTTCTTAGTGTATTGAAGCATGTTTTTGGACTACGAAGGGGAGGGCAAAAAATGGGTCTTTAGTGAAGCCGATGAATTGCCAAGGGAGACGATGGAGAAGATAGAGGTGCTAACAGGGGACGTTGTTTAGGTGTGGTGGTGAACAATGGAGTATGGTGGTGAGTGGAGGGAGACTCTGCAGAAGATTGAGAATGTCGACAAGTGATGTTTTAGGGGAGGAGTTCACGCAGCAGGTGTGGATGGTGGTGATAGTTTTAATATCATATAATTATTATAATATAATAAATATATTAATATGATATGTAATATATTATTTTTGACAAAAAATGAGACAAAAAGTTAAACCAACTAAATTGCCCCTAAGTTAACAAAACAAAAGTTAACAGAGTTAGTGTAAGGGACTCAATCTATAAAAAATAAACTACAATAGCCATACATGTAATTATTTGATTTAGGGACCCAATCCAAATTTTCACTTAATTTACTCTAAAAAGGAATGGCGGAAAAGGGGAGTCAAAGTCGAAGAAAACAAAGAATGAGCCCAAAGTTTGCTTTTTGGATCCGAAAATGGAGTTTCGTGTGAAGAAATGAAGCACATGTAGACTGTATAGAACCAGTGCATAACGTGAGACGGTAATTTCGGCTTTTCCACGTGATCTCCGACTCCATCTCTCTCATCCAACTAGCAACTATTACTACTACACTTTGCTATACAATCAGCAGTTATATATCTATCTATATCTGTACACTCGCTTGTCGGTAGGGTGGAACTTCGGAACCAGATCGAACAAATCTCCGATAATGAAGGCCAAAGCACCAATCTTGAATCCCCCTCTTGTCGCTTTCGAACATAAGAGGTATAATCTGTGGTTTCAACTATATCTGCCTCCTTTTTCTTAGGCTGTTGGATTTTCTTCCCCTTTTTTCGATGTTTAATGTTCGATCTATATCTTCTATTGCTGCTATGCTTACTTAAGGTTATGCTGTTTTTGTTTTCGTTTACTTGTAACATAATACTGTAATGCTGGGATCGTGTAATGTGACATTGGAACTTACTAAGTTTATAGAAAGGGTTTCTTGAATCCTGATCTTGGTTAAGGATGATTTCGATTTTTTTTAATAATGAATGATACGCCTACTTGATTAACTTTTGGATGAATAGTGAGTTGGCAAATTTTAGGATTAATTTATTTTGGGGCCGATCTTGTGCTCTAGGAATCCCTCTTTTCGAATAAAAGAGCCACACTCGGCCTTTTGATGCCAACCTGAATACTTTTTAACTTTAGAAGAGTTAAAGAATACTTTGAACAGTTGAAACTTTAGCTTTTTAAGAGAAAAAAATTCACAGCACACGAAGTATATGTTTCTGTCTCTCAATGATTAATGGTTTCTGCAACATGATCTTGATGCATTGGTTATTGAAAATGTTTAACTGTTGATTTGGTTGTTTTAAATATCTTTCAATACGATCTTGTTGCTTCCATGGTGAAATTCCACAACGGAAATTTTAGCGTTTCTAACGAGACAGGGAGTAACAAGTACTACAGTTTGAACAACCTTGGTGTAGCTTTCTAAATGGATATCCAAAAATCCATGTATCCATATTCCATCCGTATTTGTTTCCAATTTAAATGACCCATATCTGCAGCAAGCAGATGTGGATATAGTTATATCTGTATCCGAAACTACTTGATACCGGACTTCTTCATATAATGGTTAACATATTTTTATTTAATAATACAAATAAAAAACATGATGCATAATGTATTTATCGAGTAAAGTATGCTTTTGAAAACTAAAAATCATATACACTGCTCTAAACAAATATGTTCTTAATAGCTAATACTTCTAGTGGGGTTGTGACTGTGTGACTCAATGCTGAACACTATAAATTGTACCTGGTGTTTTTTCGCTATATGCTGTTTTTTCTAATCTCAATGGCCAATCGTTAGAGGGCAATCCAAGGTGTGGGTTCATTTCTATTTTGTGACTGTTGATAGGCAGTGTAGTTTTCAGGTGTGGTTTTAGTTGTTGTTTGGATTTTGAAATGATCAAAAGCTGTACGATCAGAAAGGTTATTTGATTGGAAACCGATGATTTTTGTTGTTGTTGGACAGAGACGCCTATGGGTTTCCAGTGAGACCTCAACATGTACAGAGATACCGTGAATATGCAACTATTTACAAGGTTTTGCTCTCTCCATCTTATTACTTATATACATTTTATATCCTGATAGGAGCTTTACCCTTGGTTGCTGAGAAAGTTTCTTTGTGTCAAGTACTTTTTATGGTAGGAAAAGTTGAGGTTTATTCCTCTGTACATCACTTTGAATGTCATTTGTGATAAAATAAAATGGTTTCTGGACATCATTCTATTCCATGAACCTGATCTGTTAGCACTTGGATAAAGTTGAACTTATTCAAACACTTTATAATGTAAAACCTGTCACATTTTCATGATTTTAGGAGGAAGAGGAGGAACGATCAGATAGGTGGAAGGACTTTCTAGAACGGCAGTCAGAGTGTGCACAGCTGCCTGTGAATGGCTCATCTGCAGAGAAAGATAGGGCAGCTTCACTTTCCGTTGCTTCTGGGAAGGAAGCTAATGATGGCTCTGATAAGTCCCCACAAGGAGCTGACTTGAGTGATGAGAAGACTGCCCATGATGATTTAAACGTACCTGAAGCTCAAGAGGACGAATTTTCTCAAATGACCGAGAGTAAAACTCATCGGGCCCAGATATGGACTCGAATTAGGCCATCACTTCGAGCCATTGAGGATATGATGAATGACCGAGTTAAGAAAAAGATCAGTTTGACAAGAACAGAAGAAGATAATGGAGCTGAAAATCTTGGTTCTCTCGAAGATGCTAAACCTACAAAAGCAGGAGCAGAAGAAGACTCTGAGGATGTGTTTTACGACTTGGAGAGGTCAGAGTCAGAACCAACTCCAGAGGTCCCTTCAAGTGATGGTGTCAGTGCCCCAACTCCAGGTGCTACTAGCAATGCCGTCCCCCAAGAATCTTCAATTCCTTGGAAAGAAGAGTTGGAGTTTCTTGTCCAAGGGGGAGTGCCAATGGCTCTTAGGGGAGAGGTAGGCTGCATAAACTTCAACTGGTTCCTGTATTGATGTAGGATTTCCAAGTATTAGATTCATTCTACATATAATTCACCACTTGTAATTGCAGCTCTGGCAAGCTTTTGTGGGTGTCAAGGCTCGCCACATTAAGAATTATTATCAGAATCTTCTACTTTCTGATAGTAAGAATGATAATAGTGTGGAACATCAAATTTCAGAAGTAGATGAAGCAAGTAAGTTGTTGAAGACTGACTCCATAGATGTACCTGAAAAATGGAAAGGACAGATTGAAAAGGTCATCACCTAACTAGTATACTTTAGTATAAGCCTGCTATGGTGCTGTGTTTTTTAATGATTTCAAATCCTAGATGCTATTCCTTTTCTACAGGACTTGCCTCGGACTTTTCCAGGTCATCCCGCTTTGGACGAGGGTGGTAGAAATGCTTTGAGACGTTTACTCACGGCATATGCTCGCCATAACCCCTGTGTTGGCTATTGCCAGGTACATATATTTGGACATGTTTTGTATAACCAGTCAACTCATCTGACAACTAATTTTGTATTTTGCAAATATTCCTATTGACTTGTGAGCAAGTGGTATATAGATTTTAACTACACTTGTTTATGTAAATGTAGCTAAGGTGCTTAATAACACTAATCTGTTGGATTGCATGCAGGCCATGAATTTCTTCGCCGGCTTATTACTGCTTCTGATGCCTGAAGAAAATGCCTTTTGGTGGGTCTGAGCCGAAATCAAATGTTTACCCTTCCCAGTTGCCTGAAGAATATATTAAATTCTTTTCATATATGTACAACATTTGTAGCTAATGAAGCTTAATATGCTTCAGAAATGCTCATCATATCACAATTTAATCTCAGGGCTTTAATGGGTATTCTTGATGATTATTTTGAGGGCTATTATTCCGAGGAAATGATAGAGTCCCAGGTAATTATGCTGTCTTTTCCTTCTACACTAAGTGAACTTGTAAATCCCTCCATGTTTGGTCATGAAGATGATTAGAGGGTGGACTATTTTATATATTGCACCGTGGTTCTTCTCAGGTTGATCAGCTTGTTTTTGAGGAGTTGGTGCGTGAGAGGTTTCCTAAATTGGGTTTGTTTTCATATATCATCTATATTTCCGTACTATATGTTGATCCTTTCTCCTACTCCTTTTCTTCATCTTAACATGACATCTTTTCCTAGTTTCTGATGCCTCTTGATAATCTGATGCAGTTAACCATCTAGATTACCTAGGAGTCCAGATCGCATGGGTATCTGGACCATGGTTCCTTTCCATATTTATGAATATGCTTCCCTGGGAAAGTGGTCAGGTTCTTCGTTTCATGAGCCATAATTCATTTATGTTTATTAATCAAGAACACAAACAAAGAGATTTTAGCTTATGGTTCCTATAATTTTCCCATCTTCGTGGACTTGTATACTAATTATTGGCTGCTTTCTCTTCCCTTCAGTTCTCCGTGTCTGGGATGTGCTTCTGTTTCAAGGGAATCGTGTCATGCTCTTCCGAACAGCCCTTTCTTTGATGGAGTTATATGGTACTGTCTTCTCTTTCTCTGTTTCATTGCTCTTGATATGTATTGAGGATACATGGATCAGTATCTTTTCTTTTGTTTTTGATAATTCTAGAAATTGCAACTTAAGTTTGTTCAGTTTTGTGCAGGACCTGCATTAGTCACAACAAAGGATGCTGGAGATGCTGTTACTCTGCTGCAGTCACTAGCTGGATCAACTTTCGATAGCAGTCAACTTGTCTTGACAGCTTGCATGGGTTATCAAAATGTCAATGAGGAGAGACTACGAGAATTGAGAAACAAACATCGACCAGCTGTACAAGCTGCTCTTGAGGAAAGATCAAAGGGACTTAATATGTGGAGAGATTCTCAGGGTTTGGTATCCAAGCTCTATGGTCTCAAAGAAAATAAAACAGGTCAGACAGGGGATAAAATGACAAATGGTGCATTATCACGAAATAATTCCGAGTCTTCTAATGCGGATGAGTCATATATGGGGGTGTCAGGGGATGTGGAGATTAATTCAGTTCCAGATCTTCAAGAACAGGTTACTCAGCCTCCTTTTCCTACGTAGTACATACTCAAATGGCACTGTACGTTAATCAATATTGTGTTGCTTTTCACTGTTTTTATTCAACTTTCTTGTTAAGTCGCACATGCTTCTACAATCTACAAGCTAGACAAGTTTGTCAATTGCTAATATGAACTCTAGGTTCCCCTGCTCCCAGTTGCAAACTGGGATAGAAATAGAGGGGCATCACTTTGCAGATATGAAACAGCGAGTAAGCTTAAGTTCTTAATTATAGTTAAAAAAGGAGGGCCACTGAACCATAATATGCTTGTTAAATTTTCATCAGCATGTTACAACCAAAGTGTCATTAAATAGGATCATATAGACAACATCATAAAATACAGAGTTGGTTGACGTGTGTTAGGAGTTCACAAGTGAGAAAGCAAAGTGCAAGCACCTATATCATGGTTTTTGTGATTGCATTTTAGTTGACCATCATGTGATGCATTTGGACCTGTACTTTAGGAGAAAAACTAATGGAGCTACCTGAAATAGCTGTTCGCACCATTCATTGGGTTGAAAAGTGAAAACCTGAAGAAAGACGGTATGCACATGATTGACATGAGTTATCCTACTTGTTTGTATGAAAACTTGTTTTTATCATGAGTATATTTTCAGTCTTTTACAGGGCATTATGCTTTCTGCCATAGATGCAAGGCAGCAGATAAGGATGAGATACTGTATTATGAAACAGCGATCTCATCTCAAGCGCCAGTCCTTTATCTGCAAAATAAGAGTTTTCATGTATTTTGTTGACCAACTGAACAAGTGAACAAGGAAAAATAGAGAAGTAAATATAATAGTAGTAGTACATATTGAAGAGTATGTTAATATTAGTTGGCGTGTTGTGCTGCTAATTATCGCTCGAGTTTCTGATGGCTTCTCAATTCCAAAATTGTGCTCCGTAGGTGGCGTGGCTGAAGAATGAGCTGTGCAAAATACTAGAGGAAAAAAGATCTGCCATACTCAGGTCAGTGTAATTGATTATTCCTTGATCTTTCTTATACATTACACGAATTAAGCAATTAAAGATGAAAGATACTTTTATGTTTATCATCTCTCATGGTACTTGACCTCTATTAGACATAGAATTTCTTTTTGTCTTGCATTTTTGCTGCATCATTTTCTCTTGCTATCTCCAAACAAGTATTGGTATTGTTTACTTTTTCCACCTCAAGAAAATTCTAACACTTTCCATTTTAGGTTGTCCCAAAAAGAATGTTTCCTTTCCATTTAGGAAAGATTCCAATTTAACCAAAGGGCCTTTGGCCTAGCGGTGCCTTGTAACCCAACCTTAGAGGTTCAAGTCTCTCCAAAGACAAGAAGTGTGTGTGAGTTAATCTGCCGAATATAAGTATATTTACTGTTGCAAATATTGACCACACCAAACTCGATCCAACCCAGAAAACCGAGATCGAAATCGAGTAGAAACTTAGTTGAAATCGCCCAAGACCCAAAATAAACTCGAACATAGCATGTAATGCAGAAATGATAAACTCGAAATCGCAATGGAAACAACAATTGACCACAAACAAATAAAATAACTTGACAGAAGTAAATAAGAGATAGAAACGACACTGGATTTAAACATGGCCAGAGGAGACCACCAAGAAGTCCACTATAATCGATCGATGTTTACATATACTTTAAAAAAAGATTCCCATTTAATATTTCTATTTGCTACGTGAGATTGATTGCAGTCCACAAGTTTTCTCAATCTTGTCTAAGTGCTATCTTGAGTTTCTGATTGTAAGTCAAAGATTTTTATCATATTCTCCAATGTTGCATTTTTTTTGGGACGGATGGAGTAGTATTTTTGTTGGATCCATATATTAGTATAATATACACTTGGGGGTGGTTCTTGGAACAATATGTACGTTCGTGGACATCACAGAATATATGCTTATAAGGGATACCAGTACTTAATGTATTTGTTATCGTATATGGAGGTCTATTCTATGGTCCAGATATAACACATAAACTTCGACACGTTTGCGTTCAATATAGAATAATTAATTTCAGTTTAATACCACACTTAATATATGTACTTGCACTTTTTTCTGGAATAATATTTAGTCTACACCAAATTAAATTTGCTATCTTAAAAGTTGGTCTAATGTTTCCTTTTCTCACCAGAGCTGAAGAGTTGGAAACTGCCTTAATGGAGATGGTCAAGCAGGATAATCGTCGAGAATTAAGTGCAAAGGTATGCTACAAGAACTTTGACCAAGGAGCCTTGTGCTTTTTTTTTGTGAGAATGGTTAACTTATGGCTATTTGTTGCAAATAAGTCATTGTCATGCAAAAACACCTTTATTGTATGAATGGGTGATTTTGAACATGCAAGTATAACATTTCTTGGAAACCAGAGTGTTTCTTTTGTCTTCTTTTCACAAGAACAATGGTTAGCTTGCAATAAAAAGGCAAGTATATTGGTCCAAAATGTCGTCGCTTCATTTAGGATGTGCTTATTTGAGATCTTTGTATAATGAAATAAAGATCACATCCTCTTGTGGGTTTATTATCATAATTTTGCTGGGTGGATAGCTTTGGATGAACCAGTAGTATGATTCTTTGATTGATTCCACCACCTTTAAGATTGTTACTCTGATACCATAGGTTGAGCAATTGGAACGAGATATTGCTGACCTACAACAAGCCCTTGCTGACAAGCAGGAACAAGAGAACGCCATGCTTCAGGTTTTAATTTGATGCTTTATGTTATAATGTCGATTGACATTTGATTACATAAAAGTTTTGCATAGTAATTACATTATTGTTATTCTAAAGGTTTTGATGCGGGTAGAGCAAGAGCAAAAGGTAACAGAAGATGCTCGCAGATATGCTGAGCAAGATGCCGCAGCCCAGAGATATGCCACTGCAGTGCTTCAGGTAAGTCCTACATTATAATTTTACAGTACCATAATGAATACTTGGATCATGTTATGTACTGTTTTAAACCCCCCCCCCCCCTAAATTTTATATTATATCAAAATTAATAAAAGTGGGGTTAATTACCAACTGAACATAAAAAAACAACTAAATATTTGATTTAAAACTTTTGCGTTATTTAGGAAAAATATGAAGCAGCAACGGCTTCCCTTGCTGAAATGGAGAAAAGAGTGGTTATGGCAGAATCAATGTTGGAGGCAACCTTGCAATACCAGTCTGGCCAAAATAAGGCACAGCCTTCTCCAAGGTAACAACTCCCTATATCTCATGAAAGTTGCATTATCTTACATCTTCATAAAGTTCTTTTTTCAGATTACGACTACTTAAACCTTCCGTCCAATAAAAATTGCAACATCTTTTTTCTTTCCAAAAATTGAATGTATGGGGTGCATTTTTCCAATTATGACCGTAAATAAAATATGTTATTGGTTAGAGTGAATAAGATTCATTTAGTTTGTCTTTGTTCAACCGTATTTTAGATATTTGACAAAGAATCAAACATTTTTCTTAAACCATGTTTCGAACTAAACATTGTAATTTTCTTGAGATGGATAGAGCATTTTCACATTGTAATCATCAGAAACAACGATGCTATTGTTGGGGTCCAGAAGATTTCGCTATTTTCTCATCTTGGAAGTTTATTTTAGAGGCCTTGACAAACAGTCATGCTTTCCTAATACCATCAAGCTTTCATTGTCTCCTAGGTAGCAACACCTTAGAGGTAGCGGGTTCAAATCCCCTTTCACTTTAACAACAAAAAACAAATTTGATCACAAAACTGTTTATGGTGGTTTAATATTTTGTTCCTGTTACGAACAATTAATTTTGTTTTTTCATGTAGATCTGCAAATCAAGATTCTTCTGCAATAAGAACAAGTCAAGAACTCTCTCAAGAAATACCTGCAAGAAAGATTAGTCTGTTATCTAGACCATTTGGGCTCGGATGGCGTGACAAGAATAAGGTTAGTAAATCTAGTGATTTCCCTGAAAACAGCCGCTCTACTCTTTTAGGTAGAGGTCATGTCTTCTTACAATTCAACCCCATCCATCCTAAAAAAAGACCTTAATTTGATTGGGTTTTACTGGGTTAGTTTGGTTTGGCTTGGTTTGATTTTAGTGATTTCCCTGAAACTACAGGCAAAGCCAGCAGAAGAGCAGGTCGATGTAAAAACTAGTGGTGACGAACAAAACCCGAAAGCTGTGAAGCTAGCAGAAGAGCAGGCCGATGAACAAAACTCAAAAGGTGTGCAGGAAAACATTATAGATGGTCATGAAATGGAGCAGGTATCGTTGGCTGATGAAGATGGTAAGTAGATGAAATTATGTATACATAAAGTTAAGGAAAAAACATATAAATATCTTGTTGTGTTCATGTTGGTTTTCAGAGAGAAGCATAGATTAGCATGTATTTTTGTTCTTTGATACAATTTCTATAACTTGCATATAGCTCATTAGCCATTTGTTTCTTTAGTTGTTAATAAAACCCTAGTTCGCTTGAACTGAAAAATGTAAAAAGAAACTTGGGAATTTCTTATATTTTTGTTCTGGTTTGATCTGCTTTTTCAAAACCCCACCTCCGAGTGAGATATACCAAGCTCGTTTGGTTTAGTGTGATCTCATCACGAGCCTCATCATCATAATTACTGCCCCCAAGAATCTTGCTAACATCAACAAGTGGATTAACAAGAGACTTTCTGAATAAGCTAGCTTTAGCCTTGGGTTTTGCATATTGAATCCTGCTATGATACCATGAAAAATATTGACCAACTACTAATCTTTTATGTTCACCATTTGCAAGACTCAAAAAGCCAGATTGACTGCTAATCTTTTATATAGAGCTGCTAATTACATGAATCTCCAATCCTTTGATAAAGAAACACAAAAATTCAGGTGAAAATGAAGAAAAAAAGAATGGTGAGACAGAAACAAAGGTGAAAAGAATAACCAAACATTCCCAGCAGCATGTGTTCCCATATAAACACAAAAGAGTCCCATATTTCTTGTTAGCAGAATACCCATCTTTCACCTGGTGGCAGCATCGCTGTTTCTTCGTGTTCTAGGGGTGGACGAGCCCGAGCCTGTACGCACCGTTTGAGGCTGGTAGGCCCGCGGGTCGTATCTTTGAGAAGCAAGATACGTGAGGGCTGTAACTACATCTGCGATCACTGGCCGCATATTTGGCTGCTCTTGTACACACATTGCAGCCACAGCAAGTGCCTGATACAAACCTCTTACAGGGTACTGTCCTTGGAGCATCGGGTCTGCCATCTGTCCGAATTTCCTACGGTCTTTGAACAACGGCCGTGCCTGCAATTGGAGTTTTACTCTTTGACGGTCAACAAACTTCAAAATACATTTACACAGGCACAAGCTACAAAAACATACAATTGCTAAGTTTGGCAAACTAGTTTATAAGCTTATTCTTGGCTGAAAAAGTGGCTGTTGGTTAAAAACTAGTTGTTACCTGAAAAACCAGTTGTTGGCTGATAAGGTAGTTGATAAACCAGTCATGTTTCGTAGAAACTAGCTGATAAACTAGATAACAATGTAAAATCATGTTGACAAATTCATTGAAAAAAAATACAAGGGGTATAATTGGGAAAAAAAGTGAAGGAAAAAAAAATCCTAAAGCTCGTTGAAACGCTACTTGAAGTAGTTTTAAAAACAAAGGTAGCTTATAAGCTAGTTTTTGTCTAATCAAATGGGCTTTTCCAATAAGCTTAAATCCGTGGCCAAAACGAGAAGAGAAAGAAAAGGTTTGTTTTGTTTCTTACCCAAGCAACAAGATTGTGTTCACAACCAGTTTTTGAATGGTCAATTGCCTTTCTTCCGGTAATGATTTCAAGAAGAACGACTCCGAAACTGTAAACATCCGATTTGAGTGTGAGTTGACCGGTCATAGCGTACTCCGGAGCACAATACCCATAAGTCCCCATCACTCTTGTTGACACATGAGTCTTGTCACCAACAGGTCCTAATTTGGCCAATCCGAAATCAGAGAGTTTTGGATTATAGTCTTCATCGAGCAAAATGTTTGAGCATTTTAGATCACGATAAATAACAGGAGGACTAGCTTTGTCATGCAAATATTCCAACCCTTTTGCCGCACCAGCAGCTATTTTCATTCGTGTGTTCCAGTCAAGTTGTTGTTTATCAGGAGGTAGATCTGAATGTTAACCAGAAATACAAGATTAAGCATAACAAGCCCTACGTTATAAAAGGACAAAGACACTCTCTCTGTCCCAAAATAAATGTCCACAATGAAAAAAACACAGTTTTAGAAATGTGTAACTATCACACTTTTTAATTAATTAAATGACAATTTTACCCTTAATAATAGAGGAAGTATTGAATTTCTCCATCTCATAGTTAAGGGTAGAATTGGAAAGTAGTCACTTGCTTTTAAAAGTAGACACTTATTTTGAGACAAACTAAAATAGAAACGAGGATATTTATTTTGGAAGATGATTTTTGATGTACCGTGTAGATGGTCTTCCAATGATCCTAGTGGCATGTACTCGTAAACCAAAAGTCTTTGATCTCCATCGGCACAATATCCAATTAAGTTCACCAAGTTAGGGTGGTGAAGAAGGCTTAACATCAGCACTTCGACAAGAAACTCCCTGTTTCCTTGCAAACCATTACGATCGAGTTGCTTGATTGCCACAACCTGCACAAAATATCATTAACCCCTCAGGATATGAAACAAAGATTATATATTATGTAAATAGGGGTAACTAGGCAAGTCCATTTGAGAACAATAAATATGTTGAGACCATAAGAACCAACTATTCAAGAATCATTCATGATGAATATAGTGAAACATAATTATTGTGAATATCATGAAGAATGAAAATACATTACATTCATGAATATTTAGGTATATTCGTTATGAATAATTCATAAATAGTTGGTAATTGGTTCTCACGGTTCTCAAAATATTTATGGTTCCAAGCATACTAATTTTCAAGTCCCATTGAAAAAAGTTATATATACTTGCAAGGAAGTATGATAACCGTATATTAATAGTCAACTTTTTTCTGTACCAAAAAGAGTACCATTTTCGTCAATCTTGTCCTAGAACAGCGTCAACAAATGGAGAAACATATGGTGTAATGATCAATGGAACTTGATAGATTCGACAAACCTGATTGGTACTCTCCAACCGCCCTCTATATACTCTTCCAAAGCCTCCTTCACCCAAAAGACAATCTGCTCTAAAGTTCTTGGCAGCAGCTGCCAATTCACGAAATGTAAATGTATGTGCTGCAATGTGTGTAGATCCTCCATCTTTCAAACCTTCTTTATTTATACCCAGAGCAGAGTTGATCTTCAATTTATCTGAAAACAAGCATGCTTTAGAAAAAGTACAGAATTTGATAGAAAAAATACAGAATTTGATAGAAAAAGTACAGAATTTGATAGAAAAAATACAGAATTTGATAGAAAAAGTACAGAAATTGAATGAACACAAGAAGGGTTGTACAATCTAGAAGATTCAGAAAGCAGAAATACTACCACAATCATTAAAAATTGACAATCATAAAGTTCAAAAAACAGACTACAAATGTCTTAAAGTTTCCACCTTTTAACATTTTCGTGTTGGGATCACTAAAAACACAAAGTTGTAAGTAATCGTAGGAAATGAAAAGATCAAACACAGTAACTATTATGTGGTTCTGCAACTTGCCTACAGGATCTTATTATATCTGCTAACTGCATAATCTTGTAATTGTTTTCTTACAGAAGTTCAAATCAAGTTTCCATTTTGTTCTATGAATCCCATTTACTCGATCTACAAACCAAACCAAACGAACTCTGTATATATTTCACTCGAAAGTAGGGTCTGGGACTCCCATTTACTTGATGTAACAAATGAATAAGGAAGCCACAAAATGCAAAATCAAGAACGGAATTAAAGGGTAGACGCGAATGAACCCAACCCGCGAAAGTGGATATAATTGATGCCTAGCATTGTGAAGATACATTTATAGAACACATACAACCATGGGTAGTTTGGATGCATTAGAAATACTGCCTTCATTGTATTCTTATATGGGGAAAAAATTTAAACCCTAAATTTAAATTCCATTACCAAAGACATAATTGTAAGTATGTGAATTGTAATACCTATGATTCATATAATTGGAAATCATGACAAATAATTCACAATTGAAACTGATAATAATAATAATTGATGACCCTACTATTTTATTAACAACCCAGTACCATAAGGGACCTTCAAATGATTCAACTAATACTGACCAACACACTTGTGTTGTTCTTCCAGTGGCAACCCAAATGATAATCAAGATTCAAGGGCACAAACAGAGATTTAAAATGCTAAATGCCTAAAAATCAAACTAGCTAGGTCATATCAGATCAGCCCCCACAGATTATTTATGCAACTTAAAGCATACCCTTTTAAAAAAACACATGAATATGAAAAAGAAATGAACTCCCAAACTAAACCCCACAAATGAAAAGTTGGGAATTGGGAAGAGAAGAAGAAATAAACAAGTGGTGCAATTGGATTGATGAAAGAAAACAATGTTGATAATGGGTTTCCCACAATTTTGATTTATGTGTTGAAAATATTTGGATTTTGGTTACCTGAAGTTGATGAGATCTGATCTTCTGGCTTCTTGTTTTGCTGAAATTTAGGTTTCTTCTTGGATTTCTCAGAGCAGAATAAACAACCCATTTGTATTTGTTTCCCCTCTCCAAAACACACAGACTTCACCCTCTTTAGAGAGAGAGAGAGAGGGGGAGGGGGAGAGAGAGAGTTGAAAATATTGAGAGAGAGAGAGAGAGAGAGATCTACATTACTCTTTCAATGGAGTGTCCCTTATGGTTTTATTAATCATTTTTGCTTATTTGTCTTGTTGCATCACTGCTTTTTGTCCTGGTATATAATGTAAATTCCTCCATATGTCTTCATCTATTTATCTTTTCAATTAACATTTTACGGGTGTTTTTGGATTACTTATAAAAATAATTTATTAATTTATTTCGATATGATACGATAATAAACACTTTTGAGTATTTGGATAAACAACTTATACCGGTATCAAACCAGTAATAAAGAGTTTTTAAAGAAGTTAAACTCTTCTAACTTATAATAAATTATAAGTTGTTTCAAATAAGCAATCTCAAACACCCCTCTTAATTAACCTTTATTTTACACATTAATATCCATGCAAAAAAAAACATCATTTTCATAAATATTAAATAAATTTTAAATTTCTTTTAAAAAAATCCAGTTACATGACTCTTAAAATATCCTAAAAATAATTCAACTTTCTCTCTTTGTTTTCAGATAAACAGATTTATTCAGATATACAACTTAATTCATACAAAACCAAATAGAAAAAAAGTGAGCAGTAGTTAAGTCTTTGAGATCAAGAGTATACTTTTAGATACATTTGAAGCAAACACAACTCTCCTTCTTAGAAGGTTGACGTGACATATAATAAGGATCGATAACAACTAACATATTAAACCTGACACATCTTGCTTGATGGGTCGAATAATTAATTATCCAGTAATTACCGTTAATCCAAACTTTGGTTATGTTTTATATTTTTCCATTTATGTTTAAAGTACATAACGAACAAAATTAGACGTCTGACAAAATTTTGTATCTTTAAAGATTCAAAATCAACTTTACGAAATTTTGTAACCGTTAATCATAAACTGTAAAGTTTAACATTATAAATGTTGTATTTTTCTCTATAAAACCTTGAATTTGTTCGGGTCATGTGTACATGCATACACATATATACATAGACAGAGGTTCAAACGAAAATATACTCAAAATACAAAAATGGAAGAATAGATCCCAACCATAAGATGAGTTGATTCAACGGATGTAATCAAAAGATGGTGACAACCACCTTTTTGTTAAAACAAAAAGAAACCCCCTATCGAAAACAAAAGATTCAGGGGAAAACCATAAAAAATAAAAACTGACGAACACCCTAATAACCACGGGATACACATGTGCATAAAATAAATTTGTAAGCAATTTTCTTGGTATGCATATATGCACAACATGCATAGAAACCATAAAACATCTTCAATTACTTGTATGTACATATGTATACCTTATAAATAAACATTTATTAAAGGGTGTTCATAGATTTTTAATTTTTTTAGGATTTTCCAGATATATTTGTGTGTAAAAGAAAATTATGTGAGTTGGGGATACAAGTTTTGTTTTGTTAAGTTGTTAGGAGCTTCTTTTCATGATTTCCTTTTAAAACACTATTTATGATTCATGAAATTCCATTCAAGACAAAAGTGGTTAACCAATGGGTTGAGTTTTGGAAAATTATATAAAGCTTAATATTTAATATGAATTTTATATAATAATTATAAATAATTCTCTATTATAATTAATCGGTATATATAGTAATTGTCGGAAAAACATATGGTGCTTTAGATAAATGGACCCATTTAAATTAATTAATTACTTAATTTAATTAAATAATTGAATGATATGATTTGATCCAATATATTAATTATTCTTGTTCGTAGACTATTTTTTATAAATCGAAGTTAACGTTTGTTTTTTTAAGAGGTGCTGAAATCTGAAGTTTTATTTTACTTCTGATTTATAAGAGGTGATGCTAAAATCTGAATCGATAAGACTGTTTTGTTTTTGTAAACTGATAAACGTCTGAATTTATTTAAATTTTCTATTTTACCCATTACAAATTATAGAGTTGAATTTATAGATAAATTTATACAATTTCACATATTTATTCATCATCATTTATGAAATTTACATCTAAATTATATAATTAACATTAATTTGAACGAAAATATATCATTAACGGCGTTTAACATATTTATATCCTATTAAAATACATTAATTGAGAGAGGTGAGAATTGATTTGGTAATGATCGATTAAGAGAAATGATCGGTTAATGTTAATCGATTGAGAAACGTCATTGTTGAGGATTTGAAGAACAATAAGAGACAAATAAGAGTTTGGTTTACCTCTTATCAGATAAGAGGAAAATAAGACATAAGTGCCTCTACAAAATTGAAAAAAACAAACAGTCTGAATGACATTTGCATAAATTTTAGTTTGAATATAATTCTCCTATATATCATTTTTAGCATTAAATTTAGACCTCTAATCATAATCACTCATGAAAATGGTACTTTCTATCCTTAAAGATTGTAGATTGATTTAATTAACCCCAACAATCATGGTCTTTTTGGTGTTTACATAAGATAATTAATATATAAATACAGTAATTAGCATATTTCAAAAAAATAAATTGATTAACCTGGATATCTAACCCGCTATATGAGCCGACTAATCATATGGCGACCACCTGCTTTGCAGATAGCCGAGAGTCACCACATTTGAACCTCCGTAGCCACAAGAGGATTTTTATTCCTCATTGGATTTGAACCTGAGACCTCCAGATACTTTTGACCTTTTGGAGCTAGCATATTTCAATTTGGTACATTTACATGTGAAAACCGAATAAAGTACCTCGAAAAATAAAGATTCGGTTGAAAATGAAGGTGACACGTATTAAGATATCTGAATCCTGTAATTCAAAATAAAACGTGAAATCACTTGAATGATGACAAGTGTCTTGCCAAAAGAGGCTTGGTTGTGAAATGAACATATATGACGAGAAGAGATGAAAATGGCGCTGATGATAAGACGTTGGAATCGGCAAAATTTACCCTCATCATTATTTTCCACTAAAAGTAACTGTTTCATTTTAGTGAAAGTGATCATTTGTATTGTTGCAATGAATGTAGATTTAAATACTTATCGATATTAATAATATTGGTGAAAGCAATATATTGATGACTGTTGATGTGGGCACTGTGTCCATATGTTTGAAATTATGAGCGATAAATCAGAAAGGTGTTCTGATTTAAGGATAAATGATATAATAAATTGTGGTATTTTCGTAATGTTTTACGTAAAATACAACATACAAAGTTTTACGTATAAAAAAACTAAATTGTCCCTCACGTAAAGGGAACTTGGGATGACTAACAGACTTCGACTTAATGGTGTTAAGTGTAAGGACCAATCTACTATATGAAATACAAGATAAAGATCACTGGCGTACTTAATACGTTTTAGGTAGTTCACTCTAAATATTTCATTAATGATTAAAATTTAATTATATATATACTAGAAGGATACTCGCACAATGCAGTGAGATACATCTCGATTTTAGTGTTTCATTTTTTTTTGTCTTAGTCGATGTTATAATACGGTTTTATGTGATTTTGAGAAAGAGATAATGTTTTTGTTTTTAAAAAAAATATAAATATGAATATATCATACAAAATAAAAAAATACTATTCAAAATTTCTCGTTTTTTTGTGTACTTGTTTAATTCATTTTTTTATTTTTGGTTTAATAATATAATTTTTTATAAAGATAATAATTAAGTTTTTTTTTTGTAGAACTCAATGATTATTTTAATTATATTTTATTTTTTTATATTTAAAATAAAATGTTTGTTCTCTATTTGATTATGTTTATTTGAAGTTAGTTACATGAATTCAAAATGAAGCTTTAATAAGTTGTATTTATGCACAATTTACTTATAATCTTGAATTTTAAGTAATATGTATCAATAAACAGTACTTCATACATAAAAAATAATTTTTAAAAGTTTTTATCAAATACTTTATAATATAGTATAGATAATATTAAATATTATAGCTAATTAAATTACGAGCAATTTATAAAGTTAATGCTCGGATCAAGGTCAAAAAGGTTTATATGGTTGTCATTACCTAAAATGTCAAATTCTTTTTGTTTTATTTAATGATTTTAGATTTTATAAGTGATTTGGCGGAATAATCAAAGCGTTTTAAAATTGTTTATTGTTTAATTCTTTTAATTATATATATATATATATATATATATATATATAGAGAGAGAGAGAGAGAGAGAGAGAGGAGCGATCAAATGAAAACCACTCCAATTTGTAAAAACCGTAAAAACTACTCTCATCCGTCGTTAATCTTATGAATTTTTTTTCATGAAATTGTTAATCTTGTGAAATTGTTTCATATAATAATTTTTTTGATGAAGTTGTTTCATATATGGTTATGAAATTGTTTCATATACTACTTAATGAAATTTTAATGAAACTGTTTCATGTATTTCTCTAAAATTAAAATAATGAAGATGATAATATCCATGATTAACACCCTCCACAATAAGAATGGTTAATCAACCTCTCATAATTACAAAAAAATGAACAAAATAAAAAATTATGATTGGTTGAATGAGGTTTTCACGGTTTTACAAATTGAGTGGTTTTTATTTTAACTCACCCCTCTCTCTCTCTCTCTCTCTCTATATATATATATATACACACACACACACACACACTAGAAGGGTACTCGTGTAATGCAACAACAACATCTAAATTTTAATGTTTTGCTTTATATTTTGAGTCTATCGATGTTATAACACGATTTTATTTGGTCTTGAGAAAAAAATGTTTTTATTTTTAAATGAAATATACATTTAAAGATATTATAAGAATTTTAAAAAAATAATCGATATTATTATCAAACTAACTATTTAAATGTTCTCGCTTTTGTGTAATTTCTTTAATTCAATTTTTTATTATAATTTAAATGAAGTTTAATAACAAACTAATTTATTTTCGATTTAAAAAATGATTTTTTTAAAGATGATAATTAAGTAATCTGTTAGATTTTAATGATCATCCTAATTTATATTTTTTATTTTTTTAAAATGAGTTGTTTATATTCTATTTGATTATATTTATCTGCAGTTGGTTACACGAATTCAAACATGAAGCTTTAATAAGTTTTATTTACGCATAATTTACTTGTAATCTTGAATTTTAAGTAATATGCATCAACAAACACACAGTACTTCATGCATAAAAAAATGAGTTTTAAGAGTTTTCGTCAAATGTTTTATAATATAGTATAGATATATATATATTGAAAATAAACTTTTTACATTTACTTTATTCATATGTTAATAAAAAGTTATATTTTAGTTTTTCTTTTTTAATTATATCGCTTTATTTTCGTCCAACATTTCTTTGATTTGTTGTAAGGTAACAATGGAAATAAAGATTTAGAAACTATAATTAATTATTAAACTTGAAAGAAAATATCGTATGCTAATTAATCATAGATTATTGATTATTTACTTTATATTAAGTAATCCTAAATTAACTTAATACAAAATAAGAAATAAAATGATTATAGCATTTAATGTGTAGACCAATTGATAAAAAGGTAAGATGACTTTGCCTAAATATAAGACAGATAATGGGTTTAATCTCAGGTCCCTGCTAGCCCAGCAGTTGACTGAGTCAAAAAATGCCCTCACATTGGTGTCTTTGGAGACTAGTTCCGTGTTAGACTGGTTAAGATTGCCGGTTATCGACTTTTTTTTTCAAATAAAATGATTATAAAATACAAGTGTGACGTATATTTTAAAGTTGTTCATTTCATCATGTTAAGTCAATTTTCGTTTTTAAGATTTTAGTCATTTGACTTTACTGATACATTCAGTTTGACTTTAAGTAATTTTCATATTTCTTTTTTGTCACTTACAAAAAATATAAGATAAAAGATGTAACCATATGGCATTTTTTTAATCTAGAATTTGAATATTCATTAACCCATGCTCCAAAGATGGTAGATAGTCAGAATTTAATAGGTTTTAACAACTGGATTATTGAATTAATCAGATTTATAAACAAATATTTATCAATTGAATATTTTTTAAAGTTGACCGGTTGTAACATCACAAATGACATGTAATATAGACAATAATTTTATAAAAGTGTATTCGGTATACTGGATATCATAAAACAAAAAGAAATATGAATCACTATTTTATGTTTAGCAGGACCTTATATGTTTTTTAATTAATATTTATTTTATATGCTTTTTGTATTTTTAAATATTATTTATTAATTTTCATTTAGATTGATTATTTGGTAAAAAAAACATTAAACAACTTATTTGGGGTAAATTGGTCATTTTAACCAATTATATCATGTCTAGTCATGTTTTATCAAATGTTAAACAACTATTTTATTTTGTCTTGTCATGTCATGTCATGTCATGTCATGTGTGCGTACCAAACACATACTTATGTGGAGCATATAGAAACGATGTAGAATAAAGTGGAACATGCGTGTTCCACCCCTATTACATGGAATAAGGTGAAATAAACATATATTTTACCAATATAACCTCAACATAGAACTTAATTTTTTTTAAAATATCAAATACGCATTCCTGTTTACATTTTATTCGTCGTTTAAATTTATTTTTTTGTATTTTATGCTCCTTACACTTTTCGCTTTACTGTCCCACAACATTATTTTGATATGGTTTCTATATTTCGTTTAATTTATGTAATTTATTAATTATTAATATATAAAAATAATATAAAAAATGTGTAAAATAAAAATTAAAAACTACATAAGTTTTTTATTTTACCTTAATTATCTTGACAAAAACTTTCTAATGATATATTCTGTTATAAGAAATATTTATTATAATTTAATAAACTACATAAACTAATCAAAATATATAAAAGATATAAACAACTCATTAGAGGTAAATTAGTCATTTTATCTATTATGTCATGTCCAGTTCTATCTTACCAAACGTTGAACAATTGTTCTCTCTTGTTCGTTATGTTCAGTCCTCCTTGTCTAGATACCAACCAGAGTCTAAAAAAGTTACGATGGGGTAAAATGTTAAATGACATGTCATAAAAATATACAAAAGATTTGTTTGATGCATCTGAACTAAGCCGAACCCGACATAAAACTCTAGAAGGACCGAACGCAAGCGTGGACCAGTCCTTCGGTCCTAAAATGGTCATTTTTTTTTATCTTTAACCGGTTAAGGATCAATCTGGAAAAATACCAGTTATGTACCAAACAACCGATTTAGTTAAGGACAAATTGAGCTTGATCACTTACAAAAGCTGTTTCTAAAATTGAATGATTTAAGCGTCATTTATCAGATAAATGTTTATCTGTTATGATTAAAAATTCAATATGTAAACAATTTTTATAACACTCCTTTAATGCATGCTTATTAAAATTGGATTGGAATTTTATAAAATACAAATCGTTTGTACATTCAATTTCGATGCCATTGAAAGGGTTTAGTAATTAAAATATGTCACAAAAATGAGAGTTATTGCACATATATTTCTTATTAAATTGCTATAATTAACTTTTTAACGGAATCAAATAAAAATATATAATTTTAAAAAACAAAATATAATCATTTATGTTCAATAATTAAATCACTTTCAACTGTTGAACACTATTAATGACAACAATAATAACAAGAAAAAGAAATCTCTCATATCATTATCGATATGTCAATTTTATTTTTTTAATATGCAATTACGCAAACAAATTCGTCATTTTCATATTGTTTTACTGGTCAACATCATGTCTGATGTCACTTAAATAATTGTAAACTTAATAATTGAGTCAAAAGTATTCTTTTCATGTTGAATTTTGAAAACCGACTAAAACCATGGCCATAAGCATAGGCATCATGTACAAGCCAATAAATTAACCATAACGGTGGTGTCTGATTGGTTTAAACTTATGTTTCACAAGTCAAAAGTGCCTAAAGCACGGACATCATGATTAAAAGATCTATCCGTCTATTTATATAAGAACCTTTAGACACTGATAAAAACCATCTATCTATCTATTAAACGATCTACCTAACCATGAGCACGGGCATCGTGGTTAAAAAAATGGATTGGTTAACAAATTAGCAAAACAAAGCCCTAGATCTCAACATCAACGACTTGGACAACACGTCAAAATAAATAGTCAAAATCAACGATTTATTTGTAATGCATCAATTTATAGAACGTGTTTCTCTATCCTCATCGTTCATCATATTTCAACCAATGCGTGCCCAAATATGATTCAATTTCATTTCAGTTTCTTCAAATTCTAATTTCTTTGACACAGTCTTTTCATTAAAAAAAAACATTATGCAAACCAAACGCTTGTTTAGACTTGCTCATGATCTTCACTCAACCTTGCGTACGGTGCATGATCGATCTTGGCAACACGAAATTGTTTGTTTTTTCATAAATTCAAGAATCGTGTGCCAAGGGTTTCAACATTGTACCATGGTCAAGAAACCCCAAAACAAGCATTCAAGAAAATAAGTAGAAGAAGGTGCATTGAACAAAGATGACTGCAAAGAGTGTTTCTTTAAGAGAAAACTCGAGTCGAACGATCAGATTAAAAATCAAAACGAAGAATTCGTTATTTGGGCGTAGGGTTTTGTCCCCTTTAGGGTCAAACCTATAAAGAAAGTCTTTTAACAACAGAAACTTACCACATGAATGAGGGGAGTCTGCTAATTTTCTTCTTTTTGAAGAGTCCTTGATGAAAAATGTTCCCTTCATATCTACACAAACACGATCGACCTTCATATACAACTTCCACAGCCAAAAGCCTGAGCCAAATAATCGTTACGAATCTGCATCCTTCCCACTCACCCCTTGTCGAACAAATTGTCCACGAACCCGTGGTCGCTGTTCTGCCAGCTTTTTCCTGCTCTGGTATCGTACCTTCAAATGCAAAGAACTTGAAAAAACTATAGACATGATATTTTATCATATAAATATATTCATTCTAAAACTAAGAACTCGTTTTATAGATAATCATTAAGAAAATTCCACCAGAAATTAAGAAAATATTTCTTTGACATACTTAAGATGTCAACTTTCTAATGATAGAAGGATGCCATGTTATTTGTTTTGCCGAGGACAAATGGTTTTTTGTAGAGTCATGACGTTTTGTAACTCATGTTGCTCAGGTTAAATAAGTTCATCTTGCTTGGTATTTCTCCAGATGTATGCATGATGATGATGAATAAAACTGGTGTAGTGACATGAATGTGAATATGAAACACATGAATAATACCTTTTTCTCGAAGCATCTTTCTTTCCTCTTTTGGCGGAACTTGTTAAGAGCAGCCGCTCTATGAGCTACTCGGTCTTGATCAGCCCCACTCCCTTTTCCACTTCCGCTTCCACTTCCAGCTTTGCTCTTTTCAGCTCCGTCATCACCTCCTTCAGCTGTGGCGGCATAACTGTTACCCTTTTGGCCACTATTGCCATTCTCTCCATTGCTCTTATTGTTACTTCCTGATGCACTTCCATAATTAGCAGCATTTCCTTCAGCCGGTGCAGCCAAAGCATTAGACACCAAGTTTCTTGAAGATCCACCATCCTGGTTAGCCGTTTGTTGCTGTTGTGTCTTATGGACATGATGGTGGTGGTGGTGGTAATGATGGTGGTGGTGGCGAACTTGAAACTTTGTTGTGTCACCCTCACAAGGACCAGGAGGAACTGATTTGTCATCTGCAAGAGGTTCTGGTTTGGTGAAAGCATTATTAGTGCTCGAGCCCATATCGTTATTGTGAGTGCTACTGCCATTAGAACGCTGGTTTGGGACTCCATTTGAGTTAGATTGTATGTTCACGGGTTTTGCTGCTTCTGAGCTAATAGTAACATCTAGTGGCGAGCAGCTGCCTACATTCCCGGTTGGAGCTTGATTGGCATTTGATGTGGTGTTGTTGTACCTGCATTTCTACGAGCATTAGGTTCCATGTTCAATTACGCTTTTAGCCTTTTTCTAGACAAAAATCAGAAAAATACCTCGAGAAGGCCGAAAGGTCAGACTGAAAAATATTTCGCTTATGGGTGCTGGTATCAGTATCCTCCAGGTCTCGTGGTCTCTTCAAACTGAGCTCAAGGACAGGTGAGTCCTTAGTCTTCTGTGACTCATTTGATTTGGCAGCCATACCAATATTAGTATACTTGGTACTTGGTTCACCTGCTTCCTTCGAGTTAGATTCTAGAACTTTTTCTGAATTTCTAGGGACTCCAATTTCCAAATCTTTCCCCATCGCAACAGTGTCTGCAATATGTTATAAATACATTTACCCACACAAAAACAAAAATAGTCATGATGCATTTGATTGAAATAAATAGGAGCCATTGTCTTACCTAAATTGCTATCCTCTCCAACATGCTCCCGTGTGCTAATTGTATTTGGCTGATAGTTGTTGGACGCCTCTGGCCTTGCACGGATAACCTGTGCGCAAGTGCTATCAGGAGGCCCAGCTAATTGGTCCCGTGAATACTTTGCACTTTCAACTTCTACTGCTCTTCTTGACCAAGAACTCTGTATAACCAAGAACATAAATTTTAGTGGCCTCAGCTTTACAGTATTGAATCTTATCATGTATCAGGATCTCATTTTGCGTCAGCAGTTTTAAACTGATCGGGAATATATGTATAACGATTGTACCCACAAATATATCCAACATCGAAGGCATATTTCTAAAGAAACTAATCAAACAATGGGATTATGTGATGGTGGACTGTTGATACTGCTAGAGGGGTTGTCAGGTTATTTAGAGTCGATCTGAAAATATCATCAAAACTATTTAGGGTTCATATTTATATTTCCCTTTATAATTATTCAGCTAGCTAATGTTAAAGTATAGTTTAGAACTACTCTACCCTAGGATATATAATTCATACAGCAAAAATAACAAAATAATGTCGGCAACGTCCCCATCTCTCATACCAATACCATCTTGGCCCCCCTTCTTTAAACTCATCCTTGCTAGATTCATGATGGGAGGGAACCCTAGCTAGAGTTGGGAGAAGTGAAGACAAGAGAAGAGGAGAGCAAAGAAGGGCACCCCTGTGGATTTTGAACACCATGAGGCTGAGAAGACACCAGAGAAAACCACGGATTTTGTGACTATGAAGTGCAACCCCCCTCCCCCTCTCTCAATGGGGTCAAATTTAGTAAGAAATCTAGAGTAAAAATATATATTTACCTATTTTCTTAGACCTGGAAAACCACACCTGAGGGGTTGAAAAAACTTTCCCCTTAACCATTGACACATCCCTGGTAATTCAATTGGCAATACACAAGCGTGATATTAGAACTTATGACCTATAGGTTATCCTAAGGAATTACCAGTGCATCAACCACTGAAGCAAGCCCATTTGAACCCTATTTACCTATATATTCAATGTTAAAAGTATATCGTAATAACTCAGGAATATAATTCAATACATCACAATTCAACTAAGATTCAGAAAGATTCAGGATGGTTTCTGAATCTATCTTCATTTAGACACGTATATACCTACTCCAGACAAATGACTGCATGCATAGAGCTTGACCTCCTATCAGTCGGTACAAAAGATTAAATGTTGGATGGAAACTTCATCCAAGAAAAAGTGGGCAATACCTGAGTGCCACTTCCATTGTCACTTCCATCCTTAGTGGTCAGGCCTATGCTCCTGTCATCATCCTCATCACTGCTGTCGTCATCGTCATCATCATCATCATCATCATCATCGTTGTCGTCATCTGAGACTTCATCGCTTCTCGCCTTCATAGGTTTATGAGCATGAATACCACTTTCACTCTCACTACCGCTAGACTGATGGAAACACAAGAATTTAATGCAAATGAGATAACAGATGGTTTAGTTTCCTAGTGTATATTTTGTTTGGGAAAGGAGTAGCTCGAATCTAGTACATTTTACTCTAAAATTAACATGATAACTCGGAACAAACCTGGAGCCAAAGTCCAAAACAATAATAACTAAATTAACTCACACTGTGACATTTCCTCCACACATGCTGCCAGAGGTTTTTAAGCTCATTCTTTCGAATAGGTTTGACTAAAAAGTCAACTGCACCCTTGGATAAACAATTAAAGACTATACCCATAGAATCGTCAGATGACATCACTGCACATAAAATATGTTAGGTGTAGCAGTTGAATTGGAGTCATACAGACTAAAATTTCTGATGAAAACAAGACTGATACTCACTGATCACTGGGATACTTTTGCGGGGTGTGTGGTTCATGATCTTGGACAAAAGACCGGGTCCTGATAGATATGGCATGACTACCTCAGTTAAAACCAGATCAATTTGTTTGTTGAGATCAATCAGTACTTTCCATGCTTCCAGACCATTTGCTACAGCAGTAACTGCAAAACAGAGTAACTCACATATGATCAATAAATTTCAAGGAACAAGAACAAGTGGTAAGAGATCAATCAACCGAGCTCCATTCTGCAGGTCCTGTCTCCTACTCTCTGTTTCTCCTCACATTATTGGACCAAGACCCACAAGATGAAATCAGAAATAAACTAAATGAATGGACCCTAAGAGAACTGGATACAGCATCTAAATGCCACATACAGTATGCTCAGGGGTGAAACGAGGATTATGAATGTGTGGTGTCAAAATAATAATAAAAAAGAAATCCATCGTGCATCAAATTAAAATGAATTCAGTAAGCGTAAGCAAAGTATGTGAGATCAAATGAATGCATTAAGACTTGGATTCTCCATTAAATGATTGAAATAATCATTGTTGTAAAGGAGGCCACCACAGTGAGCATCACTAGGGAAGATCATATAGCAATTGAAGATTAATGCGACTGTTACACTTGTGGAAGATGATGGGCGTTGGGTGTTGACGTTTAAAACTTTATCTCATCTAAGCCCCAAAAGGTACACAATAATCATGTAAATCTTCATAAAATGGTAACAGGTACTCAAGTCCCTCTTTTACAAACGGGAATATAAGTCTACATTTATGTTATATGTGGGTGCAAACTTGCGACGTTTATGGTTTGTACAACATAATATTATATCATCTAAAATTGCTCCCACGTACGTCAGAAATTCATGGAAATCTCGTGGTGTCCACTGACACCATAAAACACCAAGCAGGTCTTCCCTTAAAGAAGCTATATTACATATTTCAAGTGCCGAATACGTGATCCATCTGTAATGCAAGCCTATCATAGAATCAAATGCTGGTGAATGAAATTGAATTCTGGACTGTGGAAGAAGAAAGAATATTACCTTTTCTGCTTCTCTCTGCTGACTCCAAAACTATGGCCCTTTTTTCCAAACTTTATTGTCATATCTATATATATGTGTGTGTGTGTGTGTGTGTGTGTGTGTTTATTAAAGATATATCTCCATAGATACGGTCCAGAAAAACAAAATCTCAGATTGTGTTAATGTGTTTCTAAATTTCATCCATATCAAGTGAGAGACATTAAAGCCTTCTATCAACATATAGGTGATGTACCTCCAAAAGCATGATCATTTATTTTATGCCATGAAAATGAAAACTTAAGGGGCAGTTGATTGGAGGGGATTAGGGTTTTGTATTTGTTATTTTGACTACCCCACTGAAAGCTAATGAGATCGGAGGGGATCAGGGTTCAAGAGCCTCCCTCATCTTTTACACATTTTTCATCTAGTACGTTTTTTCTTTCTATTTTTTTGCATTTGCTGTGGTATTTTTCTAATTTGCCTTCTCTTTTATGCTCCATAAGTTTTTTCTGCTTTTCCATTGCTTCTCATAGAAGTATGTCGTGTCTTACGCCACTCTTAAGGAGCTAACCTCATGAGAATACTACAAGAATCTTTAATTAATGTTTTCAAAGTGGTATGTGTTATTCACTTGAATGAAATTACAAGTAAGAATCAGCAGTCTCGCGTAACAAGCATCAACTGAGAAGAATTATGTAATAACAAGTCATATGCTGGAAGACAGTGGAGAAGTCTTTTTGTAATCTGTTTTAGTCAAAGATCTTATGCCTCGAGGCGAGGCAGCCAAAACCGCACCTGAGGCAGCGCCTCTTGTACCCTGGATAAGGCTTATGCCCCGGTTCAGTGAGGCAGTTCGGTGAGGCGTTAGGCGTGAGGCAATGTTGAGGCGTACGCCTTAGATGATCAGCTTTAACGATTTCTTTGACTTTTTTTATACGCTTTGTGGCAATAGTAGTAATTCTCTTTGTAGTATAAGAGTCCTCTTTTATTTTAAAAAAACTAAAAGTCAAAGCACAATGGCCCCAATGCATGCTTTTAATATTTTAAAACCCAAAAGGCTAGTACTTTCTCCCTTCAATCAAAAATTGTGGTTGGACCCTACTCCCTCCAAGCAACCAAACTTTTTACACTCTCACAGCCTATCTCACGCTGAACCAACGCCTCTTAGTAATCTAGTATTATAAAATGTGTATATATCGGTAGTATATATACATATTTTGATGTATATATATTTCCGCCTCGGACTGCCTCGAGGCTTACGCCTTGCCTCGTTGAGGGAAAACACCTCGAGGCCCGATTCCGCCTTTTAAAACCTTGACCAACAGTATCATTTTCCATCTTATTAGATACGACTGCCTAAATCCATCAATGCCAAAAATCCATATAAAATTGAATGAGTTCAGTTGATGAATTGATAGTGTAACAATATTTTTATTCGAGTACAGAAAATTACGAAGACATTCAAAATGGGCGCCATTTTCTCAACTCTTTTTGCAACATCAACATATCAAGAGTAAATATTCTGCACCAAGTGGCTTTTGGCCAAATGATGATGCTTACGTTGTGAGTTCAAGTGTATCGGTTTGTTGACTGATGTAAAGAAAAGTAAATATTCAGCAATATGTGCTGACAATATATTTAGGCATGTAATAGGTATATACCTTCATAGCTACAATTACGAAGCAGAGCACTGACGACATGACGAGTTGAGTCATCATCTTCCACCAGCAGAACTTTGAGAGACCTAAGAGGCAGAAACCTCTCCCATTGAACCACAGGCCCTTGAGGTTGTTGATGCTGTCTCTGAACAGCATCCTGGGATAAGACCAACTCTATGCGCCTACCACCATTGACATCCTCATTAATTCTTGACTCGTCTTCCTCAGAAAGCCTTTGACCAGCAAATGCAGCTCCATCTCTCACTTCCTTCAGCTCCTTCCGTCTATGGTGATTGAGTTCCGCCAATCCTTTAGTTGCTGGTATACTCGTGCTCACCCCAACACTCCTCATTAACCGGATTCAAAGAGACCAATGATGAACAAAGTGCAGGTCCGCGAGAGTAAGAAAAGCTCTTTCTTTGGAGAGAAGTGGCACATTCCGTTGTCTCCAAGGAATAAACTTTTCTGAGAAACACGTCACAGAATCCTAAATAAAAGGCATGAAAGAATCAGAAAACACCATTAAACCCTGAGAAACCTCAAATGCATAAATTTATTTTTAATCTGTTAATGGTTGTCTTCAAAAAAATTTCCATTTTCATTAAGTGGTAGAAAAGGTGGATATAAATGCTTCAAGAAAAGGTGAATATAATCAAATAGATTAATCATGCCATCATCCAACCAAACAACACAAAAAGAATCGGGAGAAGGAGCACTCCTGACATCACTTTTGAATTCCTTAATACTATCTACAGGAGACCCACCACCACCACCACCACCACCACATTCTCCTACTGCTCCACGTTCTTCATACAATTACTCGACCGAAAGTTAGTGGTGAAAATTGAAAACTGGAACAAGAGTGTTTTACAGTGAAAACCTTTTGGACCTAAATGTAATAAAAATCTATATAATCATTCTAACGCAAATAAAGAAACCTCAGTTTGTCAACTTTCCACCACTAATTCAGAATGAAAAACAGAACTTTTAGACCAAACCCTAAGACAGATTCATACATATTTCCTCATAAAACTACATAAATCCATCATAGTATATTTCCGCCCAGATCTTAATCTACAGGAGAACAGGAACCCGTAAACAGATCATAAATCCATCGTTTATCTCAAAACCAAAAAAATTCTCAGTAAAATATGCCCAACAAAATGATCCAAAACCTTATTCTACTTTCGTTTGACTCGGTTTCTCAGAAATACTCACATTGACTCAGATAACGGAGATTCAAAGAACAGATCTTTGACTCAAAGCTGAAATCCGCAAAATTCGGTTAAATGATCCGTACAACAATTACGGTAAACACAAAATCCGAGAGAAGTCAACACAATTTACGGATAAAATAGTTTTGAATTTGGGGAAATCGTATATGATGAAGCATAAATCTAGGGTTTGTAAGCGTGGTCTGGAAAAGAAGGGCGTTTATGATCTACTGGTTCAGAGTCGAAGAAGATATTATATTCGTTGCGATGACATGGAGGTAGTGAGGGCCAATAATGTGCCACGTGAGTAAACACGTAGGATGACATGTAAGATGGAGGGTGATGGCGTGGAGGAGATCAATATACGGGCGGAGGGAAGTTTGGGGCGGATCGCGGATCTTTGAAGATCCGATTTAGATGGACACGTGGGACGATATGAGATGAGTTAAAGGTTTTCTACTCCGTGGGACCCGCCAAGCGGGTGAAAGGATAATGGAGATGCCGTTTTCGGCAGGCTTAAAAGACGTAAATACCCTCGTTTAAAACCGATTAATATCGGAATTGCCCCTGACATGTCAGCAAGAAAATATCTGCAGCATCCCCACTACGATGTAGCCGTCTGCTTCAGAACTAAAATACAGCCCAACCATTAATGGACTGCCACGTGTAGCAAATCACAAGTGTAACATCTGATCCTCATCTCCACTAATTTTACCGCTACTGGTGAGAAATGTAACGAAATACCTGAATTTTTAATAATTTTTAATTAATTATTATTTTATAAATTATATTTATTACAAGAATTGATTTGGTGCATCCCGTATCATATAAATATTAATCTTTAATTGTATTGATTTAAATGTGAAGTTTTTACCTTTTTTACCATAATTTTTATTTTCATCTGAATCCAACCTCTCCTCTACAGTTCTAAAAAGTTGTATAGATTGAAAATTATTGAATTGATTATAATTAGTTTTTATAAATTTAAATAGTTATATTTAGAGAGAGTGTCTATGAATTACATTGGTGGTTCCAGAGATTTGCTCAAATTTTGTATTTGGGTCCTAAAATAAATTATCTTTATTGATTGTTTCTTGTTTTTTAATTTCATAATACTCAAAGTCACTGAAGTTAACATCATCAATTAGCTACCTTTATGAGGCAAAAATCAGTCTTTAAACAAACTATAAGAATTAAAAGTGTAATTCACTCTAAAATTAATTTTGATCGACTGACATATTTTTTTCTAAAAAAATCTTTATTAAAAATATTTTAATTACTGTTAACAAATAAAAATATTTTGATTATTATATCAATTTAATTGTTTTAACTTATTCATAATTATTTGATAATTCAATTTAATAGTGTCTTGTCATATTTTAACTTTTAAAACATAATTATTTATTCTAACAAACAAATTTTAATATAATTATCTCATGTTAACCATACTTGAAACATTTTTAATAAAGAAATTTAAATATATATATATATATATATATATATATACTAGAAGCGTACTCGTGCAATGCAGTGAGATACATCGTGATTTTAATATTTCATTTTATTTTTTATCTCAATCGATGTTATAATATGGCTTTATGTGATTTTGAGAAAGCGATGACAAAAGTATATCGATATTCGTATCAAATTAACTATTTAAAATTCCTATTTTTTTGTAATTTTTTAATTCAATTTTTTATTATAATTTAATTTAGGTACAATAACGAATTAATTTAGATTTAGTTTAATAATATAATTTTTCTTATAAAGATAATAATTAATCATTTTGTTAGTAACTCGATAATTATCCTAACTATATTTTAGATTTTTTATATTTTAAAATAAGATGTTTATCCTCTATTTGATTATATTTATCCGCAATTAGTTATATGAATTCAAAAATCGAGTTTTGATAAGTTGTATTTTTGCATAATTTACTTGTAATCTTGAATTTTAAGTAAACATTGGTTTTATGTGGTTTTTGAGAAAGTGGTAATGTTTATCTTGTATTTGATTGTGTTTATCTGCAGTTAGTTACACAAATTCAGATATGGAACTTTAATAAGTTGTACCTACACAAAATTTACTTGTAATCTTGAGTTTTAAGTAAAATGCATTAATAAACAGTACTTTATGCATAAAAAATGGTTTTTAAAAGTTTTTATCAAATGATTTGTAATATAGAATATTTTTTTATATATAATTTGAATTAAGTTTAATAATAAAATAATTTATTTTTAGTTTAATATTATAAATTTTATAAAGTATTCTGTTAGAATTTAATGATTATACTAATTATATTTTAGATTTTTTATATTTAAAATGAGATGTTTATCATGTATTTGATTGTGTTTATCTGTAGTTAGTTACACGAATTCAGATATGGGATGAAATCGGATAGGGATGAACGGGTTTAAGAGTTTTTAAGAGTTTTAAGAGTTTTTAAGAGTTTTAGCCAAATGCATTATAAGATAGTATAGATATATGAAAATCACAATTAATTTTAAAGTGAGTTATACTTTTGGTCCTTGTAGTTTGTTTAAGGATTGATTTGTCCATTATAACAAGTGTTAAGTAATTGTGTCAATTGCAAGGATCTTGAGTGTTATGAAATTGAAAAGTTAGAAACTATCGGTCCAAATTATTTGTTTTAGGAACCAAATCCAAAATTTAAGCATACCACAAGGACCACCTATGTAATTCAAAATATGAAGAGAGAATGAATATCAAAGAAAAAAGACTGAAAACTACGATAAAACATTAGATGTCAAATTATAGATAATAAAATGATCATTTTTAAGGTGCAATATGTTTCGCTCTAATTTTTATTATACCTTTGCCAAATTTTGATTTAAAAAATGGTGTGTAATCTTTTTAGATATTTTAAAAGATGATTTTAACCACTTTTTTAACCATATTTGGTCATATCAATGTAACGGTTTGAATAGATTATTTGGAGATTTTTTTCGATTTAGATGGGTTCTTCAGTTTTTATTTTTTTTATCAAATTTTTGTATGTAATTCTGTTATTGAACTTAGAATTTATTTGAAATTAATTAGTAAGATTTTGCTAAACATTCGTTTTTATAAATTATAAAGATTAATATTTTAAATAATATAATATTACTTACTTTAATAATGAAGGTTAGTTTTCTTTTCCTTTAATACTTGTTTATTCATAATGTTTCGAGTGTTTGAGACTTTCTTAAAATAGTTGGTAATAATGGTGTTTTTGCAAATAAAAAATAAAACGAAAGACAAGTTGATGATATTTTTATATATTTAATTCAATATTTAAATAAAGTAATAATTAATTATTAGAAGCGTATTCGTGCAATGCAATGAGATAAATCATGATTTTAATATTTCATTTTATTATTTATCTCAGTCGATGTTATAATATGTTTTATGTGATTTTGATAAAGCGATGATGTTTTTATTTTTGAATATAATATATGTTTAAAGATATCATAAAAATTTGACAAAAATATATCGATATTAATATCAAATTAACTATTTGAAATTCCTCATTTTTTTGTGTGATTTTTTAGTACAAATTTTTAATATAATTTAATTTAGGTACAATAACGAAGTAATTTATATTTGATTTAATAATATAATTTTCTTATAAATATAGTAATTAATTATTTTGTTAGAATCGATAAGTATCCTAATTATATTTTAAATTTTTTATATTTTAAAATAGAATGTTTATCCTGTATTTGATTATATTTATCCGCAATTAGTTATACGAATTCAAAATCGAGCTTTGATAAGTTGTACTTTTGCATTATTTACTTGTAATATTGAATTTTAAGTAAACATTGGTTTTATGTGGTTTTGAGAAAGTGGTAATATTTTTATTTTTGGATAAATATAAATTTAAAAATATCATAAAATTTTGAAAAAAAATATCGATATCAGTATTAAATTAATCTTTTTAAAAGTTTTTATGTTTTGGTGTAATTTTCTTAATTAAATTATGTTAGTTATAAATGATTATAATAATTATATTTTAAATTTTTTATATTTAAAATTAGATATTTATCCAATATTTGATTATGTTTATCTGCAGTTAGTTAGACAAATTCAAGTATGGAGCTTTAATATGTTGTACTTATGCATAATTTACTTGTAATATTAAATTTTAAGTAATATGTATCAATAAACAATACTTCGTGCATAAAAAATTGTTTTTAAGAGTTTTTGTCAAAT